AAGTCTTGCACTTTTGTTGAATTTATTCTTAAGTATTTTTTAAGGCTGTTACAACTAGAATTGTTTTCTTAATCATTCTTATGTTTACAAAGTACTTCACCATTGAGGAATCAGATAAATATTCACTCATATTTTTCTCTTACTTTTTATAGATTGGTTCACCTTTCTCATCCATCCCCTCAACCCCCTCCCATCTGGCAACCATCAGTTTGTTCTGTGTACCAATGAGTTTGTTTCTATTTGTTTGTTCATTTATTTTGTTTTTTAGATTCCACATATAAGTGAAATCATACAGTATTTGTATTTATCTGTCTGATTTATTTCACTTAGCATAATACCCTCTAGGTCCATCCATGTTGTTGCAGATGGTAAGATTTTATTATTTTTTATGGCTGAATAATATTCCATTGTATATATGTACTACCTCTTTTTTATCCATTTGTCTGATGGTGGACACCTAGGTTGCTTCCACATCTTGGCTCTTGTAAATGATGCTGCAGTGAACCTAGGGGTGCATATATCTTTTCAAATTGGTGTTTGAGGTTTCTTCAGATAAATACCCAGAAGTGGAATTGGTGGGTCATGTGATAGTTCTATTTTCAATTAAAAAAAAAATTTTTTTTTTCATGGATTCCCTACTACTCAAACTTCTTGACTTCTGAGTCCCTATGTGACATGGCCACTTTTTCCTCCTCTGTGACTTGTCACTCACCCCTATCCTGTAGGCTTCAGCAGCTCTGAACTCCTACTCCTTGTGGTTACCCAAGATGTTCAAGGTTGCCTCCCTATCTCTTCACATTCTTGTCCCTTTGCCTACAACACTCTTTTCATCCTTCTCCTGGTCTTCCTTCAGGTCTCAGTTTAGATGGTGCTCCTGCCACAGTACTTACCATACTCTGCTATACTGAGCTGTTTTTTCTGTTTTCCCCACTAGACTTTGAGTTCCTTAAAAGTAGGGACTGTGTCTGGTTTTGTCATACATATTCCTAGCAGCTAGCACATTTCCTGGAACACTATCGGCAACTCAGTTATTATTTGATGAGTAACTGAATGAATGAATGAGTGAATGGACTTTTTATCTGCCACCAGCATTTCAAAGGGTATTTAATTAGTAAATTTAATTACCGTATTTACCATGTATAAGATGCACCTTAATTTTGGAACCCGAAATTTGGAAAAAAAGAAGTATTACATAAAGTTATTGAACTCAAGTTTTATTCATCATAAAATTCATACAACTCCTCATCACTGTCAAAACTCCTAACGATTAGCTTGTCCTCATCTGTGTCTGATGACGAATCACCAATTGCCCTTTGCTCTTCAATCCATACCTTCAATTCCCTCTCTAAATCTGGCCATTTTGCTGACTTGCCTCTCATGGCCTTCTTCTGCTGTGGCGTTTTCAGTAGGGTTTCTTCTTCCCGTAGCCAGTCTCGGCTTGTTTTCTCAGTTGGAGGAGGACCAAACTTATGTGCAGCAGCACGATTTCCATTCACTTTTGCAAACTGGATCACTTTTAACTTGAATTCAGCACTGTATGAAAATCTTTTCTGAGCCATTTCTGGGCAGAACGTGGCAAAACATAACCTACCGTAATATACCGGTAACAAGTGCGAAAAAATGAGCACAAAGACAACAAACGCAAAAAAAGCGGGAAATGCAAGTAAAAAAATCTACAACCACTGTATAAGACGCACCCAGATTTTAGACCCCAAATTTTTCAAAAAGGGGTGCGTCTTATACATGGGGAAATATGGTAGTAAAGTTGCTAAGTTAAGATACAACTTCAAGATGCTTTATCAACTGTGATTAATTTAAAGCCCTTAATGCCTAAAGACATACTTTCTTTGTAGGTGAAAACTTCCCCTTCCCACCCCATCCCCAAGAAAACAGGACCTGGTCTTCAAGTTTCTTTTTTCAGATCAGTTTGTTTAACCTTCTTAAATCCATTCATCCCACCTCAGAATTGAGTCATGCTGCCAATGTAATAATGTCTGTAAACTCCTATATGTTTTTCTGGAAATATTAGTCACCATAATTTTGAAACCTCACTGAAATTATCTACCTAGATAGTATGTCTAAAGAACTAAAACTCAGTTTCCTGAAAGGATTATAATAGTACATTGATTTGTTAAAAATTAACTGTCGTAAGATTTCAGGACAATAATGCATTCATTCAACCAACATTTGAGCACCGATTATGTACCTAGCACTATGCAAAGAATTAATAATATAGAAATCTTTTTTTTTTTAATTATTTCCTCCTTCAGTAATTTCATAGTCTGTTTTGGGTCAGGGATTGGAACATGTAACAGATTTAAAACTTAATAAAGCAATTCTTAACAGAATTTTTGCATATCTGCATACACTACTGTATGCATACAGAGAAAAATAAGACCAATTCTTCCAAAAGAGAACTTCACAGAAAGAAGAATATTTAAACTAAGTCTTGAAAATATAAACCAGCTTCATTAGGAAAAGAGGCAAAAGGGGCATCTTGAGTAGAAGGGGTGGCATGTACAAAGATCCAGGCATAGGATCGAACATGATAGGTCCAAGATTGGCAGATAGGTGTGCTGCAGAGCAGTGAGGTATAGAGGCAGTTGAGTGGCAGGATGTAGGGCTGGGAATGGACACAGGATACCTATCACCACACATGGTTTGGCCAAAGACAAATCTTGGAGTTTCTGTGGCACAAAAGAAAGTAACTAGCAATCCAAACCACCTCTTAAGATTATCTGGTCAAAATAAGTCCCTGAGGCAATCAATTTCTGCAAGATTCAAGTCCTTATCTGCTGAGTGAGACTTAGATAATTTCTTTAAGGAAGATTCATCATTTAACACAGAAGTAAATGTTTCATTATGCCTTATGTGGTCCTGGCATGAAGTTGTTTTGGGGTCCTCTCTGCTCCTAAATGTATGTGATGCTGAAAATTGAATAAAGAGCCATTTTTTTCTGGGCTCTTGGTTTTTGCTCTGTTATAAGCCACAAGTGCATAGAGTTCTCTGAGTGTCTCCCCTCATTCACGTTTCCTTGACGCTGCCAACATTGTTTTGATCCTAGCTGTTCCTCAGTTTAGAAAATTAATATTGACCTAAGAACTATGCAGTCCTAGAACCTCTGGGTCTCAGGGCCACTTTACATTTTTTTTAAATGATTGAGGACTCCAAAGAGCTTTTATTTATGTGGGTTATATCTATTTGTATTTAACATATTAGAATTTAAAATTGAGGAAAATTTAAAATATTCATTAATTTTTACATGGTAACAATAAAAAAAACCATTGCATGTTAACATGTCGATTTTACAAAGTAAAAAAATATTTACATACCACATTTGAGATCCTCTCGCTTAGAAGTTTGAAAATACTATTTTGAAAGACAAGAGTTGGGGGTTTATAAAAGTTAGCAGACAAAATATTAAAAATCAAGAGCCAGTGCCTGCGTGATTCCTTCACACCTATAAAGCAAGTGTGAGCACAGTTTTGATAGGATGAGGAGTTAAGAAAAATGTAACTTACTTGGTCCAACTTATTTACTATAAAGTTCAATTTTGATCAGCTTTTAAACATTCAAAATCTCCTCAAAGAAAAAAAGTCTCTACTTTTATCTTTTTTTTTTTTTTCTTTTACTTGAACCAGAAAATAGAATGCTAAAGAGCTAGGAAGTGAGCCACCAATTATACAACTTAAGAAACAAAGAAAGATACCTGGGGTTTCATGCTTTCTAGCTCCATGACCTTGAGCAGGTCATAACGTTTCTACTCTTAGTTTCTGAACCTATAAAAAAGCCTACTTCCCTCAGTTTTTGGACCTATAAAAGGGCTTACTTCCCATGTGGACAATTCAAGATATGGAATGTGAATGTTGGCTTCCAAACGCTGAAGCCCTCTACAAAAGTTATTTATGATGGTGATTATATTATGATGATTATAAGACTGCTCACGGGACACATAAACCTTCCCTTCTCTTTAAGTAGAGAGATTGCCTTCTATTCTGCCCTCATTTGTGTGTCCCAAAGTCCTTCTCCAATTAAGTTTTTGCAAGCTGCCTATGGGCAGGCCTCAGTGTAATCTAAACTCTGAGATTCCCAAGGCCAAACACAATTACTCTAAAGCATTCTATGTCAGGTTACCCCTATATGCAAACCTCCAAAGGCAAGTTCAAGGGAAAGCATAAACGAGCCTCAACTTCCCTCTCCCCCTAACCTCCAGGGAAATTCTCTAACAGTACTAAGCCAAGAGGAATTATTGCAGCAAAGAGTGAATATAAGTGGGGATGGTCCAGCTGCAGCTGACACAGCACCCAATGGCATATCCAAGTAAAGTCACAGCCGTCCGAGAGCATGATTGATGGGAAGTACATTTGCCTTGGTTCAGGTTCCAGATGCACTTCTGAAGTTGTAGAATGCTGTTTGGACAAAGATCAAGAATAAATTACACATCTGGCGTAGCCGTGACCTAGAAAAGACCCAAAGGGCAGGAAATTTCAGTAGAAAGTCACTGAAAGAAAAAAAACAAAAAAAAACACCAGAAGTAACTTGGCTAAATTGGGCAACATGAGGATAAGATTGGCATGTTTAGAAATTCCCAGTCCCAAGTTAATAAAACTAAGGTCATGAGAAATTCTCCTGACTTGACCATCTGCATTTACCAACCTACCAGTCTCCCCCTGCAGCAATAGAAAAACATTGCTTGGAAAAATAATTCTTCAGCAACAAAACATTTGAATCTCACCTCAAGACTTCATTTCAAAATCTGGAGAGACATTTCAACTCGAATTTATTCTAAGGATATTCTGATTTAAGTCAAGTCATTTTGGACAAATAAAATTGCCAAAACACAATTTCTTTTCCCTTTCCTCATAAAACACAGCTTCTTGCATTCTACTCAAATAATGATTAAAATGCTCAAAAAGGATAAGTAAAATTTTAATAAATGAAATAATAATGTGGTTTTACAGTAAGTATCTTTATTTGTCTCCTTTTTCCTTTCTGTGTAGCTTTGAAGGCCTCTCCTTCTAAGAAACGGTGCAACTCCATCGCTGCCCTGAAGGCATCCTCACAGGAGATTGTGTCCTCAGTTAGCCAGGAATGGAAGGATGACAAGCGCCATTTGCTGACTGAAGGGCAAAGTTTCAGCAGCCTTGATGAAGAAGGTAAAGAAATGTAACTTTAAAAAAGGAAAAAGAAAAAGTCCTTGTGATTTTATGTATACAAGTAATGTAAACTCACAGTAGAAAAATTAGAAAATATCTATACTTGCTCCATATACTTGCAACGAATTCCATTAACTAACTTTTAAAAAGATACTTACAATATTTTGTAGGGTGTCAGATGGACACATGTCTTGTTAGGGAGACCACTTCATGGACAGTGTAGAGGCTTGACCACTGCACTGTACACCTGAAGCTGCCATGGAATAATATTGTATGTCAAATATAATTTAATATATATATAGTCACAGGATGTGGAGTATTGTGTGGGGAGTGGAGTCAATGGAATTGTAATAGATATGTATGATATCGGGGGTGGGGCAGTGGATTGGGGGAAGGGAGCTGTTGCTTTTTGAGGGGTGAAAAGTATAACTATTGCATTGTTTTGTACACCTAAAACTAATATTTTTTAAAAAGATATTTATAGTATGACACAGTAAATGTAAAAATTTTTAAATGTATAAAAATACAATATAGGGTTTATGGTAAAAAAAAAATTAGAAAATAGTGAAATATTCAAATACAGAGATTTATAATCCCACTACCTGAAAGTAACAAATCTGAACTTTTTTTTTGGTGTTTTTACTACTAGACTTGGTTCTGTGCATGTATATATTTTTTTAAGCACACACATATATTATATACTTATATACACATACTTATAAATACATACAATCACAATTAATGATCTATTATCAATTTATTTAGGTCCTCTTTAATGAATTGGATCAGTTTTATAATTTTCCTCTTGCATGTCATATATACCTCCCTTTTGTTAGATTTATTTCTCGGGTGGATATATAGACATAGCTTTATATTTTGTGTCTTTTCAAATAGCATCTTTTTTCTTTTTAAGATTTTTTATTGGGGAATTGGGGGAAGGGGAACAGAGGACGTTGCTTCACTGGCCCAAGTTGGCACCATCATTGCGTTCTTCCCGGGTGAGGCACATCAGTCGCCGGCTTCTGGATGGCCGCTCACTGCGGCTGCTGGCCGCTCACGCTGGCTGCTGGCTACACACTGTAGCCCATGGCAACCCACTACCACAGGGGCTGCAGCCTACGCAGTCCCTGGCGACTCACGGCAGCCCAGCTCCAAGTTGAGCTCTTGTTCAGCATCTTAGCTATAGAGGTCAGTGTCACTGGCTCTCATATGTGGGATCCAAACCGGGGCCCTCTGGCATCCCAAGCCAGCTCTTAACCAACTGAGCCACTCACCCAGCCCCCAAATGGCATCTTTTTAAGATTTGGGTTTTCTGGCTATTTGTTGCTACTGTACAGACCTCACATCTTTTTCCTTTCTTTCTTACTTGCTGGCTAGGACTTCTGGCACAATGATGAATAGAAGTGGTGATTGTGGGCAGCCTTGCCTTGTCCTGATTTTAAAGGGAATGCTTCTAATGTTTCACTGTTGAGAGAGAAGTTTGCTCATAATCAGGTCAAGGAAGTTCCTGTTTATTCCTAGTTTGCTAAAAGTTTTTATCAAGAATTAGTGTTTAATTTTATCAAATACTTTTCTGTATGCAATGACTGGATCATTTGGTTTTTCTCTTGCAATCCTGTAAGAGGATGTGACATTTTAGATTTTTTTTATCAGTATAGTGTATTCTTTTGGGAAAGCAACATTTCCTGAAAATTTCCTCCACTTCCTGTAGAAGATTAGATCTCTTCTCCGGGTTTTCTTTTCCTCAGAGTCTTTAGAATAGGATGTTATTACTGTTCTCTTCTGTGGCACTTATCCACGTGTGCCATGTTGGGTTTCTTTCTTTCTCATCTTCCTATAAGCCTGCCCTTACCCAGATTTAGTGATTTCAACAAGAGAGCTGATGAATTGCCCTTGCTTCTCTGTCTGAGTTGATGGCTCCACCTTCTGGCAAACACCCACCCTCTTTCTCTAAGCATCCCTTCCTTACCATCTCACATGCCTGGTGTTCTTAGAGCACACATGAAACTGCAAAGCGTCTGCAGTCTGGGAAATAGCATAAACTTATTTTTAAACTATATTGGTTAAACTTTCAAATAGTATGTACACTATGACTTCCAAAGTTAGAGCAGTGAGTCTAGGTGTTAATCTGGATAATAAATGCATTACAGAGCATCCAGAAAGCCTGGAAACATGGAAAGTAGGGCACATAGTATGCTTTTTTTCTTTTCAGATGAAGTATTGGACGTAGTGCTTAAATTTAAAGGTATTTCACCTAACAAGGTCTCTGAAGGTCAAAGAAAAACCTATTGAGCATATTCTTTGAAAACGTTAACATGCAATTTTAAAATGTGTTTATCTTGACAATTCTGTGCATCTACCAAGTTTGCTACAAAGTTCGGCCGTTTTATATTGCTCTATATTTGGAGACTTCCCCTTCACAGTGCTCCAAGTCATCACCCAATTTCCCTCTAGTTTCTAATTATTTGTTTTCTGTCATTCCCAGTATATCTTGGTTATGTTAGTTTTCTATTGCCGTGTAACAATTTACCAGAAAGTCAGCAGTTTAATACAACCTCTATTTATTAGATCGCTGTTCTGTCAGTCAGAAGACTGGCAAGGCTAACCTGGGTTCTCTGGGCACAACTTATCAGGGTCTCAAAAACTGGCATCAAGATGTCCGCTGGGCTGAGGTCTCACCCGGAGATGCTGGAGAAGAATCCTCTTCCAGGTTCATCACGTTGTTGGCAGAATTCTCTTCCTTGTAGTTGTAGGGCTGAGGTCGCCCTGTCTTTGCTGTCTGACAGCTGAGGGCCGCGCTGGGCCCCTAGAGACCATCCACATTCCTTACCACGCAGCCCCCTCCACCTTCAAATGGAGAATTTCTCAAAAGTCAGTCTCTCTCATACTTTGAATGTCTGTCATCACCATCTCTGATCTTGAGACCATAATTAAAGAGCTCATGTGATTAGGCCAGGCCCACCTGAGTAATCGCCTCTTTGACTAACTCAAAGTTAACAGATTAGTAACCTTAATTATGTCTGCAAAATTCCTTTTGCTGTGTCAGATAAAATAATCACAGGAGTCATTTCAGTCATTTCTCATCATATTCCCAGGTTCTACCCACACTCACAGGGAGATTATACAAAGGTGCAGGTCACTGGGGAATCATCCTAGAGGTCTGCCTACCATACTAGGTTTTTTGTTATTTTTTTAAGCTGAGCCATCCTGCCACCTGTTTGCAGCTCAGAGGCTGCTCAGCTCGGGCCGGGAATCGAACCACTGTTGCTCAGAGCTCAAACTCTTGAGTGAGCTCTTAACCAACTGAGCCACTTGGCCGGCCCCCCATACTAGGTTTTTTAAAAACTAAAGGATATGGGAGCATGAAGAAACAGTCAGTACTCTGCTTCAAGGAGCTGCTTCTAAGGGGTTGAGGGCTCAGCTATCCAGTGTTTGGGCGATGTATGACCTGGGCCCAAGTCAGTGGATGGATAGTGTTTTTCTATGTAATATCATTCAGGTAGCCTCTGATTTATGAAGTCAAGCTGACTTAGTTGTTCTCAGTTCCGTTCCATCTGCCTTAATATTTAGTGGCAATTCATTGGAGTCTGATGTGAGGTTATTTTTCAGACCCAGTGTTCAATGTTATTGAGAGTGCTCATATTTTTCTCTGTATTTAATAAGAAGGTGGGATCAAGTATATTGAAGATTGCTAGCCAGCTGTCATAGTAAATTGAAGCCTTTCTCATTTTTGGCCGTTGCACGCTTTTGGTTACTCATATTTTTATATGATTATCATCTGTTATTTGTAACAGCAGTTCTTTATTTTGACCTGAGGCAGAGCTGCACCATCTCCTACATTTTAATGTGTGTCTGGTCTCCTGGTCCAGAGTCCAGCCTTTCTGCAGTTGCCTCCTTTTTCCTCCATGCCTCACTCCACCTATCCATCTCTACCCCTTCAAATCCAAAGTCCCAAAACTCACATTCACATACAGTGCCTATTAGGATTAGTTTCCATTCACACACTTCCTGAAAATACACAATTTTGAACCTGTCATGCCTTTAAAGAAACACCCTAAAGTTATATTGTATTTATTATTGTCTGTTTTAGTTTAGTTTGGGGGGAGTGATTAAAAAGAATCCACAATAAAGCATGGTGACACTAGTTGACAATACTGTTTATATATTTGAAAGTTGCTAAAAGAGTAGATCTTAAAAGTTTCATCACAAGAAAAAAATATGTAACTGTGTGGTAATGGATGTTAGCTAAATTTATTGTGGTGATTATTTCACAGTATACACATAAATCATTATGTTGTACACTTAAAACTAATACAGAGGCCGGCCGAGTGGCGCGATGGTTAAGAACTGGCTTG